TAAATCTTTCTTTTTTTTTTTTTTGTTTTCAACATATTTAAAAACAAGACGATAGATTTTTAACCTTTTAACACTCTGCATATTTCACATGTATTACTTTTGACTCTGCCTCCTCAACTACAGTAGCCTCATTCTAAATTTCAAGCAAAGTGATTTTCACTGTTGCTATAGCAGGACATGATAACACAACCATTGAATTCGAAAACAACATCTGTCCAGCAAATGGAGTCCTCTACAATTATAGGACAAACATTTTGCCTTGGAAATAAATCATCTTTAGAGTGCTAATGGTTATTATAAATAAAGTTCGTTGGAAATTCTTAGGGTGTGAATTGCTATCAAAGACAGAGTTTACTTCTGGTTTCACTTTTTCATGAGAAACTATTTGACGATTCAGAAATTATTATTATTGTCGCAAGCGAAAGTTTTTCAAATTTGTTTAAAATCAATCGGAAATCAGTCATACAATACGAAATATAATTTTTATTACAATCTTTATAGGAGAGACGAAAATTATGCTGATGTCGATCTTTCTTTCGGCAAATGAAAATAAATAATTGAAATTAAAAATAATATAGAATATGACATGATACTCGAATTTTAAGTTTCAAATCACTTATCCCTCGAAAGTACAAATCCTTTCACACTGCATTCTTCTTGCCGTTAGAATAACCAAAAGAAAAGAAAAATAGTTTTAAATCCAAAAGTCAAATATTGTTTGGACGAATAAATAAAGTTTCTATTTTTATTAATGGTAGATTTAAACCAACGGAATTTTGTATGGGACGATATTAAGAAATTAAGCTATACTGAGTTGCACGCTTTCATTTGCAAATTGTCGAATCAGAAAAAAAAAATGGAGACTTCGTAAAATGTGGAGTTGAAAAAAAGGAGTGAGTAATGCTATATCATTTCTTGCCAGTAATAAACGCTACTCGGGAAAATGAGATACAACCATTTTTCCAACTGTTAAATCAGAAAAAGCAGAACCTTTTTCTTTTTTTTTTTTTTTTACTCCCTATCAAAGAAGACAGACATGGTAAAAGTGAAAATGACGCTGTTAATAAGCGCACAATCATTTACAGTGTAACCCGGATATAAGAGAGATTTTCTCTGGTCCCAAATTAGAGCCTGTGTTAATGTATATAAAATAGACCAAACCCGGATATAAGAGACTTCTTCTCCGGCCCCGACAACTCTCTTATATCCGGGTTACACTGTATTTAACTTAGACATGTTTATGGGAACGATCATTTCGAAACATTAACAGGAGATCGAAAAATTGAAGAAACGGAACGGCAAAGCAGCAACAATAATTTAAATTTTCTGTAATTAATTACTGCAAATCTCTGTATAAAAAGATTTTTTTTTAAATGGCATTCGCTTTAATTTCTGTATTTCCCCAGCTGTGGGTTAACTAGTATGATTTGTATCTAGAAAAATCAGAGTTGTACCCAAAAAAGAAACGTCTATGCATTTGTAAAATAAATTACAGTGTAACCCGGATATAAGAGAAACCCGGATATAAGAGAGGTTTTCTTTGGTCCCAAATTAGAACCTGTGTTAATGTATATAAAAGAGACCAAACCCGGATATAAGAGAAACACGGATATAAGAGACGACTTCTCCGGTCCCGACAACTCTCTTACATCCGGGTTACACTGTATTTTCACAATTCAAAATAAGTTTCGGACTGAGATGACTCACTAACGGTTGATAAAAAAATAGGAAAGAAAATGAAATGTAGGGCATAAGCTTATATATATATATATATATATATATATAGTGTATATTTACGCAGCAATTTTTCATTAAATAATAATACAAGTTTTGTCTATTTATTTTAAGTAAGTTCCTTTCATATTGCATGATAAGCTTAAGAACATTATCATTGTAAGCCGAAAGCTTAGATTGGATTTACATGTCTCAATATGGTGATTTCCTTTCGTCTTTCAATGATAATGTTATTAAGCTTATCAGACAATATGAAAGGAACTTACTTAAAATAAATAGACAAAACTTGTCTATATTATTTAATGAAACAAACATTTTATATATATAGATAGAGAGAGAGTTGCCGACAGAGGACCAATTAAAACAACTCGAACAATGGTAGCTGTATTTTTCTCAGTAAAACTACCAAAGACATTTTTTTCTTCTTTCATGATGAAAATAACTTGACTATACATTTTATACTTTAACCAATTGCAGAAGCTTAACGGCCCTTTTTACTGCTCTTACTCGTCTCAATTACTGCGCAAGGGTTAGTGTTATGACTGAATGACTGCTCCGAGGCAAACAACGCCAGTACTGATGCCGTACTGTAGCCATAACTCGAATGAGCCCGAAATTCTATTGTTGATAACTCCAAAACAGTAGATTTTAGCAAAATTTCTTTGTTATTTTCGAACTAAGCATGTATATTTACACCAGAAATGTAACTATTCGGGAAATTTTCATTAGAAACTGAGCGCAGGTCCTAAATTGCAAATTACCACCAAAAAATGTATAAACTCACTTTCATATGTTTAGGTTTTATTCCAATTTTAATCATCTTTATTTTAAAACAATAAACATTGCTGAAGAATGAAGGTAGTTTTTAAAAAGCGGTGTCATAGGGAAAATGTCCTTTTGTCACTCCGCCTTATTGCAAACCCGTTTGTCCCGAAAACAAATGTAGATAAAAAAATGATGTTATTTCTTTCTTCTGTTTTACTACATACTATAGTTAAATAATCTATATGGTGAGTTAAAATGTAACCAATAGTTTAGGACACAAATAGTATAAGATTTAAACACGAATTTCCGTTTAAGAATCTATTCGTTTTTCAGTTCAACACTTTATTTTAAATAGATTTTTGAAATGCTTCCCATATCTCGCAAATCGTTGTCAGTATATTTGGTGATCATTTACAGGCACTGAAGTAATTAACAAAAAACAGTGAAATAATGTCAAGTTGAAAAGGCTGCGCTCTCAACGGAGTTGGTTTTTTTTTTTGTTTTTTGCTTTTTTGTTAGCTAAAAGCTGGTTTGAAAGTATTCGCAACATCAAAAGAGAGTCAATGTTGTCAACAAAACCTTTAATAAGTTTACCTAAGACATGACGTTTTAAAAACGGAACGGTCCGAATTATTATAACGGAGAATCTAGACAAGACACACACAGAGTTGGTTGCGTGTAGTGCAGTAAGCATCAGGAGTTACGTCCTCTTCCACAATTGGCTGGGGGAGTGTGGATCTTCTACTTAGAGTAGGTGGCTCATACGAACGATGCTGGGCAGGTATAAGCGCAGTGATTCTCAGCCTCCATGCGCGGCCTACTAGTGTGCTGTAAAATATTGGCAACTAAAGAAGAAATGGGGTAGGGGTCAGCTTATCGCACATTCGACCAAACATTGAAGAAATCGAAAAAAAGTAAAAGAAAAATACACCAGGCACAAATTTCACAAAGCTGCACAAATATTTACATAGAAATATTCAAATAAAGTAAGTTCATATTTTTGTGTGTATTTTTTTTAATCAACGGTTTTACTTCATAGCATTTTAATAGTATACCCTTTAAAAATGCTACTAACTGATCCGTGATATTTTCATTTGCTCTTAGGTGTGCCGTTGCTTAAAAAGGTTGAGAAACACTGTAATTAGCCAATATAGTCAGCGTGGGTCTGTGACTGAGAGAGAGCGGTATAACACAAGCTTTTTCTCAATCGGGATAATTGCTCTCGGCGTGCAGCACAATTAATTATCTAATCGAAATCCAATAAAATAGCAATTGAATTAAAAACCAATAACTAGCTGCATCGAAATATCTACCTAAAAATAAGCACAATAATACTCACTCCATAGCAAAATCAAAATTGTTTCAAAGCAGATCTAAAAGATTGTTTAAGGACAAACCTGCAGCAAGTATGCATAGCCTTGTTTTGGCCCCAGTGCACGTAAATAGCAGCCAGTCATCGTATAATGAATTCGAAACATGACCAAAAAACTGACAGCTCAATAACTTACTACTTAAGTTAACCATTAAGAACCTGGCCCGTTTCGATATTCTCAAACAATATAAAATTAAAGATAATTACGAATGATGTAAGGGAGATAACTCTAATGTGCTTACGTCTTGAATGTTGTTTTCTATTTAGTTCATGTTTTGATGTTTAAATTAGTTACGCCTTAAAAAAAATGCTAGGTCAAAGGTCGAATTATCAAATTTAAAATTAGAATATATAACCTATATCACGAGAGGAGCTTATGGCTTTATTTTTCTATCTTTCATTGGACAATCTCTTCACAGGAAAAGAAAAGACCTGAATGAAGAGGTGCCGTTCTACAGACGAATGCTATGAATATCAGGGACAAAGCATATGAAAAACGAGGAAGTTTTAAGGACGATAGGAACTAGAAGGAAGCTTATACTTACAATCAGAAAGAGATAGTTGACATTTCTGAGGAAAGAGGGCTTAGAGAATTTAACACTCAAAGGACATATTGAGAGAAACTGCGAGTAATCTACCTAACGAGTTTGTTTGAATGGATAGCAGAACAAGGACAAAGAAATGGTAAATAGTCAAAAAAAATACTTAGATTAATAACAGACAGGAAGTTGTGGAGAGCCATGACAACTTGCATTCTCAAGGAACATAATGCATAAGATATATATATTTCAATTGCATAAGCATTTGCAGCAATATCTTCCAGGTTAAGTAATGAAATTAAAATGAACTTATTGACTCACAACCAGATTGATTGATTGGCTGATTATTTTTTTTTTTGTTTTCTTTTTTTTTTTTTACAGCTTATTAACCTTTTGAAAGTTATTTTAATGCCAGAAAATATTTTTAGATTGTAAGAATTCTTGGGAGATAATAAAGATTTTTGCTTTAAGATCTACTATTTAACCCACAGTTGGGGAGCAGACGAAGAGGTGGATTCATACTTTTCCCAAGGGTATTTGTGTATAATTGAATACAATATATTATCCATTACACCACCCAAACATCCATGCTTACAGCACCTGGTATTCCCAAGCGGTCACCCATCTAGGTACTGATCAGGCTTGATGTTGCTTAACTTCAGCAACCATATAAGAAGTAGTGTTTCAACATGATATAGCTGTAAGCCTTTCACAACCAGAAAAATGTGAATATAAAACAATAATTAATCCAAAAAATAATTTATATTTTAAAGAGCAAAAGGGGAGAATCATGTAAGGAGAAGGTGATTTTGTTCTTGATTAACTAACGACGTTAATTACAGTTCAGCAGAATTTACCCAAAAGACGAGAATTTGTGGAGAGCCATGACACTCACATACTGAAAAGACACAGCACATAAAAGATATTTTTTTAAAAGATTTTTTATATTCAGTTACTTAAGGTGAGGTAATGGAGTAGAAGTACTGAGAGATTATTTGCAGTTCACAACCAGAAAAAAAGAATTCTAAATTTCTAATACAAAACAATAAATTTTTCAAAAATAATGTTCTAAAGATCGAAAGGGCAGAAGAAAGATGGGAGAAGGCGATATGGGTCTTGTTTAACAACCAACATAATTTTATTTATTTATTCCAGCTGCTAATTTGTATATTTTCAAGCAACATTTTATTTATGTGTTTGTCCTATTTCATCACATACAGCACATTACAAAAATCAGCTCACCTTTAAATGTGCTAAATTCTAATAATTTACTCATCACATGTTCTGTTAGGAATTAATCAACTTTTCTTATATATATATATATATATATATATATATATATATCTAAGGCCATAAAAAATCAGGCATTGTGACAAGGGACAAACCCAGCACCTCACCAAAGCGTTGAGACAAGCATACAGGCAACAAAGAAATTGTTACTTAGAAAAGTGACAAATCCAAAACTTTTGTTGAACAAAACAATGATAAAATATGAACTCTGGCCAGTTTATCGACAACATCAAGCACAATACGCAACACCTTATCCGAAAATGGGAAAAAATATAATAAAAAAATTAAACTGGTAGACCTTGTCGGTTCTTTATAAAAAAAATGTTTGGATGTCTATACATGTATGTATCTATGTATGTATATATATATATATATATATATATATATATATATATAAAACACACATATTGCATGTGTGCTTATATATATATATATATATATATATATATATATATATTTGTATATATATATATATATATATGTATATACGTGTGTGTGTATATATGCATATATATATGTACATATATGTATGTATATATATATATATATCCATATATAGATGTATATACATACACACATCTCTTTTAATATATATATATATATATAAAATAAAAAACAGACCACTTTAAGGTACCATTACAATAATTTATTTCACCAAAATCCTTTTAAAGGACTCCGGATCATCAGGTAACACTTCCAACAGTTTGTGTAAAAGTTTAAAATTTTCACCCCCATCTAACTAGTATACCCATATTCCATCTTTGGAAAGCTTCTCTCTCTTAATCTCATGCTATCTTTCTCGATCTACCATTCTCTCTTCCAATCTGTCACTCTCTCAACCTCTTGTTCTCTTTCACACAGATTCTCAATTTCTTTCCTGACTTCTCACACTCTCTCTTCATCTCTTGCTATCTCTCTCTAATCTCTCATTCTCCGTCACAATTTGTCATTCTCTCTTTCTCTCACTCTTAACCTTTTTCTTTCACCCCCTCTCACTGCTAGTAAGTAATATATAAAAAAACACTAGTAGTAAGTAACCAACTGAGATATTTGCTTGAGAGTGACAACTTATACTGCACATTACACTGACTTATATATAGAACACTTTCATCTTTTTTTTTTTCTTCAACCATTGATTCTTATTTATAGATTCTTTATTGTAAATACTGTGGAATCCTCAGCTTGTCATGAAATAATTCTATTTTGATTCTTCTGTCAAATATTTCATGTAATAAATCACAACCTTTTTTTTTTTTAATTGATTTCTTCACATGTAAAATCTTATAAAAAAATATTTGCAGTTATTAAAAGAAGGATAAACAGAAAGAATTCAAATTCCACAACCTAGAAAGATTTAAAATGATTAGCAAACCTCACAGGAGGTTTTAACACTGCACCCTACCCAAAATTATGTGTGCATATATATATATATATATATATATATATATATATATAAATATGTGTGTGTGTATGTATATAAATATGTGAATATATGAAATCTGTATGTATATATATATATATATATATATATATATATGCGCGGTACTTATTGGAAAGCTCTCATATCAGTGATAGAGCTAACATATTTAGTTAAATTGATGTGAGTTTGTGACCCTGGCTTTCATGCTTTTCAGTCAAACTGATTAATTTTTTAAAATTTTGGGTTTTATGTAGGGTTGCATAATTTGGTGTTTTTATGGAAGTGGGAGGGAAAATTGTCACCGTGACACCACTCATACTTATGCAAACATACATGCCCATACACCCATTAATGTATGCAGACACACATACATACACGCACTAACCCACCGGAGCTCACACAAACATAAACATATGTGAACAGTATGGGACTTGGCATATTTATGTATATGTGCCATTGTGTACATACATACACATTTGATTGCTTTATTTAATGATGGATTGTGTAGTGAATATTTTTTTTTATAGTGATGTCAACACGCAGACCATTTTTTATTTTTGTTCGCTGAATAATATTTTCTCACACGCACGTATGATGGGGGTCTGTGTAAAACTATGATAGGTAAAAATTGCTATTATTTTTAATTCTTTAAGGCTGTTTTGTTATTATTTTAAAGCCAGTTATTGGCTTGTTTTTGGTGATTGCACATATGTAAATGAATCAGGAGCACAAACTCACATCAATTCAACTAAATATATATATATATATGTATGTATATGTTTACAAACATGGAACATGGGTATACTAGTTAGATGGGGGTGAAAATTTTAAACTTTTATACTGATGTTTCACTACCTTACAGGAGCATTATCAAAATGTATTAAAAGCTCAATATGAAAAAAATGTTTAATATCTAAAGAGCTTTCATGCATTACACCTTTACAAACTTTGTTCAGATATTTCTCATCAATCAGTTATCACACACACACACACACATTTATCATTTATAATAATAATATATTGCTCTACTTTGTTTTGGGCACTTTTTTAAAAGTAAAAGCTATGAACAGTGGAGTTTTACTCCATCTGTTCCTTCTTTCATTTATATATATATATATATATATATAATTATTATTTAAAAATATGATTCCATCATTACATAAGAGTTTTCATGTTTCAAAAACAGAAGCTAAAAACTTCACTTTAATTATAGAAATTAAATTAAATTACTTAGCTCAAGTGAATTTTGGAATAACTAATTTTGAAATTTACGAATGTTTATGCTTATAAAGCTCCGTAAATTTAAAAATTAGTTATTCAAAAATTCGCAGGGATGAAACAGAGCTAAGTAATTTAATTTCTATAATTAAATTGAATTTTTAGCTTCTGTTTTGAAATATGAGAATTTTATGTAGGATAAATCATATTTTAAAAAACGAATATAATATATGCTCTACTTGTGTACTGAGCACAGTTTTTTTTTAAAATAAAACAATAATACTAAAGAACTTCGGATTATTAAACTAACAGTTCTAATTAATATATATATATATATATATATATATATATATCCTATTTTTTTTATCTATCTATATATCCTATTTTATATAATATATATATATATGTGTGTGTGTGTGTGTGTGTGTGTGTGTAAAATTTCAGATATAACTAAAATCTGTAAAAAGGTAATTGTCTTTTCATATATATATATAATTGTACATACAAACTTAATTTAAAATCCATTTAAAATCACATGAAATCTGATAAATAGTGCTAGAAATATTCATTATTATTACCAAAATATTAAATATATGAAGAAATATTGTTAAATACATCTTAGAACATTCTATATATGTGTGTGTGTGTGTTGTAGGATGTATAATAGTATCTAAAACTAAAGTGGAAATAATGAGACAAAGTTAAAAACTTTTTAAGAATGCATTTTACCAATATGATGTGTGTTAAGTTCCACTACTTCAGGTTAGAATAAAAGACAAAACTTTGTGTAATAAAAATGCACTGGGATTTTTGAGTATAATAGGGGCAATAAATTAAATTACCTCATCAGACCTGATGACCAAAGACCAGAAAGTGTTTGTTATTTTTTTTGTTTTATATATATATATATATATATATATATATATATATATATATATCAGTGTGTATTTGAGATGTCAGTGTCTGTTGGATTTTAAATCAGCCAACTTTGTGTAGATCTGTATTTTTTATTCTCAATTAGCTCATATACCACATTGTGCGACTATAGCTTTTAAAATGAGCAATGATATTATGCATGGTCCTCGTCTTAATGATTTTTTTCTCTCCTTATCAAACTGACATTAAGTCAGAATTGTGGTCAAATGTATAATGCTGAACCACCATTGCATCTAAAGTGTTGCTAAGCAGCATATCTCTGCAATGCTCATATAAGATTTTTTAAAGTTTCAGCCTGTTTCACCAATGTCTGATAAGGTCATTTAATTTGTCACCACTTATCCTCAAAAATCCCAATGCATTTACCTTACACACAGTTTTGTCTTTCATTCCAACCTGAAGACACTGAACCCAACACATGACATGTCAGCAAGGCACATTGTTAATATATATCATTATAGTAATACATCTAGTCTAGAAGAACCCTCAACAGAATACAGAAAGCACTAGATGGCCATTTCATCCTACTTTGGAACTCATCAGCACTGCACATCCACTACTCTTATACTTGGTGATGAAGAAGAAATTGAATAGGTTCGATAGAGCGCTGCTACTCACAAATTCCCTAAAATCCCAACAATTACTCGGAATAAAATGAAGATCCGTCAACATGGTAATTTTCTGTCTAACTTTAACAAGGATACTAAAAAACTTGTCTGTAATTATGAGAGGAGCTTATTAAAAATAACTAGAGAAAACTTGTCTAAGTTATTTAATGAGACATTTCATATATATATATATATATATATATATATATATATATATATATATATATGTG